GCCATTTCATGGCATCAAAGTCGTCTGCCGGGATCTGAGAGCCAAATAACTTATTTCATTCATGTCAAAAAATGTTTTGTCTGTGTGAGTCTCTCAAGGTTAAGATGGTAGCAGGAGAGTGTCAAACCATGAGAATGTATATTAACCCAAATACATTTTTTTCAAGAATTAAAAGCATGGGCTCTAGAGAACTGAACAAATTGGGATCTACTCCAAGAAATTATAAGACAGCAGTGGGTAACTATCAGGGGAAAATCCTCTAGTGACATTAGAAACAAAATACTAATAAAATGGGGGTTAGGTCTTACCTGAAACACTGTCACTATGGCCCAAAGGAGGGAGTCAAAATTTTTTCTGTCCGGAATTGTGACTCCATCTTTCTCAGAGCAAAACTTACAGCCAAACAGATGCATCCCCAGTATACTGGCAGAAGAGTGGGGAAGAGGGGAGAAACACAAACAGGAAAAGGAAGGACAAATGTTTACAACAGATCTGTTTATTAGATACACGAAAAATAAACAGAGGGATTACTGATTGAAAATATTTATGTTACGTCCTCGATTAGGTGTTATGCAATGCAAAATGCTTATATGTGCAGTTTGTCCACAACCCCAACAAGACGTTGAATTCTGTAACCTCCAATAAATTTCACCAATAAAGTTCAATTTAGATACATTTTGATGGACCCCCACCTCCATCAACAATGAGGATCCACCAAGCATCCCCTGAGACAGAACTCAGTGTTGGAAGGTGAAGTGAAATGGTGCGCCCAGTGCATTTCAGCACCATGGACAGCGTAACTGTCAACACGGCGTACATTCATTGTATGCTGCATATTGGACTGGCACAGACTTTTTACAGGCACTGGGAAGATAAGCTATACTGGTTCAGTAGATAATTTATTTTGTTTTGGTAGATCTTGTGAAAAATACTTTCTATGCTGTATAATATGTATGTCTCCAACCAACAAAAATATAATTAGAAGGGGATGAAATTGGCTTCAAAAATCATGCATTCCATTACATTTTGTATACATACAGCCCTTTTGAATACGCTAATTTCCAGTCAAATATATAATTTAATGTATCTCATTAGGAGTTAATGTGACAAATTTATATATATATATAAAAAAATAATAATAATAATTGACCTTATACATATAATGAATACCAAAAATCTTTCTATTTGTGAATATAGAGCTGATGTGCCTTAGCGAAAATTTCATTTTTTTGTCTCATCTGTCCAGGTACATTATAACAGAGGTTTAGTGGTATTTCAACATGTAGCTTGGAAAATTCCAGCCTGTTTTTTTTTTTTTTTTTTAAATCATTATTTTTCAACATGGTGTTCTCCTTGGCTGTCTCCCATCATGCCCACTTTGGCACATACCACAACGGTTGTTGCAATCTGCCACTGATGTTTCTTGAGCACAAGGTTCACCTTAAATCTAATCAGATGCTGTTCTGGGCTCTTTTTTTTTTTTTTACATTATCTGTTTCTTTGTTTTGTCATGAATTGTCCTCCTAAAACCACATCCAGGTAGGCTAACCAACATCCCTTGACATGGAAAATCTGATCTCCAATTTTTGATTACAAAAAGGTTTTTGAAAATGCAATCACAGGAACATCAAACTGCTTGGAAATGCTCTTAAAGCCTTCTCTTTAACATGCTTGTCTATAATTGTATTTCTGATCTCCTGAAAAAACTCTTTTCCTCAGTTCCTCTCATCCATGTTCAGTGTGATACACACCATGCCACCAGTGACCACATGCAATCCTATATATAGGCCCTATATAGGCCCACTGATTGATTAATTGATTGACTTTATTGATCTCAAAGTGGAGAAATTTACTAACAAGATCGTGGACACCTGCGATGCTAATTAGTGAATACAGCATGATTAAACATTTCTCTTTGGTAACATTATTATTATCATTTCTAGGGGCATCATAATTTTTTTCCAAGTCTGTTTCAAGAGTAATTTTTTCCATTATTATTCTAAAGCATGGAGGAAAACCAGTGTTCAATTTGACTATTTTGATAGAATTTTAAAAAATTTACCATTGTCGGTTTTTCTTTTATGAAACGAGGGGCAACAAGCAATTTTGTCCAATTGTGTAAGTAGAATTTGAAACTAAAGCCTTCTATTATAGCTTTGGTTGAATGTTTAGATTGGTTGTTAGACTATCCTCCGTCCCAGTTTCAGCTTTTATGAAAATGCTGAATTCATGCTCAGGCATCTTCCCATCAAATTTTACCCAATCAATCAGTCCAGGATAAACTTCCCCAAAGCATTAAGCATGCCAACATAAATGTCAGAATCTAGATATGCTGAGCTCAGGGTGATGTTTAGTGTCAGTTTTCCTACACACATAGCATTTTGCATTCATGCAACATTTTTTTTGTTTGGGTTGGTTAATCAAATACAGCGCTAAAAAAATACTTTTAATGTTGTGGTTAGAACTTCACCAGATGTTGAAAATAAATAATAGCCTTTAAAATTTTGACAGGTATTTCATATTTATTGTAAATACTAAAAGGTTGGGTGTAGCAGCTTTACAGTAATATACTGTATACTACATGTACAGCATGTGTGTATTGACTGCTGAAAAAGACAGATGTAGAGTCAAAGCTGCAGAAAACAGAAAGGCCATGCTACATCAGACAAGTAATTGTGGGTGTTATTGTTATGACAGGCCAGATACTCTGCTCTGCACTCTGCCTTTTACTGTGAAAAAAAAACAAAACAGACAGTGAAATGCAACTAGAGCCAAGGGATCAATGCGTCGGCCTTTACTGGGTCAGCTTGGCTGCTGTTTGTTCAAATCAAGGCCTGTTTGTATGCAGATACAGAGAATACAGGAAGGTTATGTGTTTATTTGAGAATAGACGTGCACTGAAGCATGCCGCAGGCATGCAATCTGCACTAAATGTTTCTGAAAACCTTCAGCTAAATTCTTCCTTTTACTAATCAAAGGCAATCATCATCACATTTTAGAGCCAGAAAACTTGATAATTGTTAAAGCATAGAAAATAAATAAACCAAGGTTTAATCTTCCAGTATTTTGTACTTCACCTCACAAATAGAAAACATACAGTACTTGCACTGTGCTGTATCAACAGAGCACAAAAAAAAAAAATGAACAGGAAATTAATTTTTAAGAATAAAAAAAAGCATTTTTGACAGGAATGTTTCCTGTAAATGCAAACAAAGGTTTGATTAAATTCTTTTACTTTATACAAGATATCTCATTATTCACCTTTATGGAATATATATGCAATGGAAGGAACAGTCGTTGATGTTTGTGATCATAAAGTTTCTCAGGAAGGAACATTTACTTTTCTACTGTGAGTTTATGTTGCATCAGTTTTGGGCTGACATTTTCAAAATGATTAATTGTGATTAATCAGTTATTGAAAGAATCATCCACTGATTTAGTGATCAATTAAGACTTAAAACTCAGAAACATGCCTTTAGCTGAAAAAGCAACCCACTCAAAGCAGTTGTTCTAAAAGCATATGGAAACATTTTGTATTCAAGATGAAAAATTTTTTTTTGTTCATTAATATACTCTCTCCAGAAGTTGTTAGCAATTTTAGCTTCCCTTAGTTTAAATTCTGTGTAAAATCTTCTTTAAAGAAAATTTTGCCATCTAATTTTAAAGTTCTTTTAATTGTTTTTAAGTCTCTCCATGGTCTTGCTCCATCTTATCTCTCTGAGTGGCTGCACCTTCATGCACCCTCCCGTTCACCTAGGTCAGCCAATCAGCTGCTTCTTGAGGTGCCAAGAACTAAACGGAAGCTTAGGGGCGATCATGCTTTCTCTGTGGCAGCTCCAAAAATGTGGAACGACCTTCAATTGTAAATTGAATTGTCTACTTCTTTCTCCAATTTTAAGTCGCTCTGAAAACTCATCTCATTGCCTTGGTTTTCTAAACTGTGTGAGATATTGATTTTAGTCTGTGATCCATTATTTTAAATTACTTTTATTTTATTATAGATTTTATAGTTCTGATTTAAATTTTTTTCACTTATGCTTGTATGTTTTTTTTGAGTCTGTGTAATGGTGATATGTTGTTTAACCGTACAGCACTTTGGTCCTTGAAAGATTTTAAAGTGCTTTATAAATAAAGTTGCATTCGATTATTTATTAATTAATCAAAAAAAGGAATCAACAGATTAATCAATTAGCAAAACCGTCTTAGTTTACAGACCTGTATCTGTAAAATATATTGGATGGTGTCATGATGTTGTCACATCAACGCCTCACTCCAAACTGTCTTGAAAATGATAATAATGATAGTTACTTGAATTATTGACTTTATTTTCAGTTTTTTCACTTAACCTAAAAAAAAACAATTGTTTACGATTGGTTTGTTGTGAGTTTTATTTCATGTAGGTAAATGTATTGTAGATGGATTAACAGAGGTTTTGAAGGGTGACTCGTGTCTTCTGAAAAAAAATAAAAAATGTTCAGCTACATTATTTAAATGAAGTCAAAACCACAGATGAAATCAGAGCATCAAGTGAGACTTTTAGCTGCTTCTGTTCATTTCCACTGATTTATAACAGCTCTTCCAACTACCTGAAGATGAAGATGAAGAGCATGAGCAGCATACAGAAGGTGGCCACGTTGTCCATCGTCTTCATCAGCACCACCAGCTGCCTCTGCAGAGCTGGCATGAAACGGACCAACTTCAAGACCCGCATTAGTCGGAACGTTCTCAGCACAGAGAGGCCACCATCCTGCCTTGCCACAATCTCCCAAACACTGTAACACAAATAAACACACAATTAATTTCTGTATATGTCATTAAATCTATTATTCTGTTAGTAAGATCTGTATTTTACTTATTTTAAGTTTATTGGGTGGAGTTCTCAATCATAGGAGAATACTTATTTTCATCAAGCTACTAAATAATGTTCTTCTTTTGATAAAAATCTATTTCATTAATCATTTTGACAAAACAGCCATCTACAGTATATAAAAACTGTTGTGTGATTAAACCTGCATTTATTTATTCCTTTAGTTATTTTTGGGTCTAACAAGCCAACAGTTAAGGCTACTGATGTTAGAAGCTTTCTGCTCTTAATAAACTTGTAAAAGTAAAGAGTTTATTCATTTGAAAGGGTCCGCCGCCCCTTGTTGTTAGACTTAAAGAAAACAGAACAGAATCTATATTTTCTGACCTTTTTCTTTCTTTTCATGGGGAACTTCAGTACACCTTTATCTTTTATCAGCGATCACAAACTTTGGTTAATTACCTGATCACCACAATAATGCCATCAAAGATGTTGTAGGGATCTTTGATGTAGCCAAAAGGTCCATAGACTAAAATGTTGAGAATCATTTCCAGGGCAAACAGGCTGGTGAAGACAATGTTGCTGATCTCCAGGGCATTGGTCAGCTCCACCGGCTACAAAGACAGAGGTAAACCAATCAGGGGTTTAATTCATGGTGACAGAAAATGAAAAAGATTAAGAGAATAACAAACATTGTCAAAATAAAGTATCGTTGAACAGAAGTGTTTCGTCATTTTCAGACATTTTAGAATGGACATGTAACATACATTAGTTATTTAAAGTGTGAATATATGGCAAATAATCCTATTTCAGACTACATATGAGTATTGCATAAACCAGAGACAGAAAGGAAGGAAATGGTAAGCAGTTAATGTGCTTGCACTTTTAAAGTGCTTTTTCAAATCCAAGGACCCCGAATGCGTTATACTATATTCAGTCTTCCACCTATTCATTTATATGCTGATGGTGGTAAGCTAAATTGCAGCCACATCTGCCCTGGGGCACACTGACAGAAGCAAGGCTGCAATACAGAGGCGCCACAGAGCCCTCTGACCATCATCAGTAGGCAATGGGGGTGAAGTGTCTTTCCCAAGGACTCAACACCTCCGCCAGATGGAGCCGAGGTTCAAACCAGCCTTAACCCGATCTGGCTAAGTCTGCTTGATGCAGGACAAACTTCTCTTCATCTTACGCTACTGTCACCCCCAGTGATAAAAGTGCAAGGATTAAAGGGAAGCAATGAATACAAAAGAAAGAAAAACAGGTCAAAAGTAAGACAAAGGACAAATCCAAGGACATAAAGAAAACTGAAATGAATACAAAATGATCAAAAGAAACTTTAAGGAGGATCAAAAACAGCATATAAAGAAAAGAAACAGGCAACATGATATGAATCAGTTTGTAAATAATAATAATGCATTTTGGAAACAAAAAATGTGTCCATTCTTTTTCATTTCCATTTATATGCAAGAACATTCCTGGAAAGGAACTTAATCGCATTTTTTATTTCCTAATTTTCCTTATATATCCTGGTCAAATGACCCACACATCAACACCTGCTGCTTCAAATACGCAAATAGAAATATGCCAATGACAGCATACTTCTCAAACATGATAAATCCACCTGGGCATATTTCTCTGCATAAAATAAACACGCTCAACCTTTTGTCCCTCAGCAAACAGACCAAACACTGCGCCCATGATTCTCAAAGCTCATCAGAGATTCAAAATGCCCCTCACATTTCCATCAGACAGCATGTGAGTGTGTATATGTGTCTTGTTTGGTGGGCAGGTTGGGGTGTGCGAGCATTTGAACACGGCGAGACAAACAGGCACTGAGAATAAGCAGACAGAAAGATAGAACATGATCCCAGAGATAAAAGGAGCGGCACATCCAAATACGACAAGCAATGGAAATCAGACTTCTATGGGGAGATTATCAGTGAGGAGAAAAAAGACACAAGGACGTCATCATGTGTCTGTGGACAGTGAAGACAGGCTTCATGGGGCCTTTTATCTCCCTGCAATAAACATTTCACACAACTTTTATCAAGCAGCATAACACACACACACTTCACATGACATGACACGGAGGATAGAAGGTGCCCAGGACTCTGATCCAGGTCCACATGCCTCGAATCAAAAATGTGCTTGCTGTTACTAGTAATGAGATCTATCTACAAAGTACTGGATGTGTTTCTATGAATAGATCCGCTGTCCCTGCAGAAATGATACCCATTTTTAACAAGTAATGTAATGTAATGTAAGCACTGAGCATGTCATTGAATCCAGCCTGGTGGGCTGCCACTAATCACAACACAACATGACTGTGTGTGGTGGGGATTACTCAACACTTGCATTTTCACACAGACAGAAGGAGAAATATGGAGATTAGCATCTAGAGCTGAATAACAGCTCCCTTTCAAACATTGAGACACAATCTTTATTTAAATCACATAAGCAGCAGAGTCAGTTGGTGATGATGAGATACTGGCATTGCTGATTTTAGAAATTATTTACTTTAATTCAGCAAAAATAAAATTCCAGTCTGGTTGAATTATATTCTCAGGGGTTTATTCCCACCAAATTAAAATTAGACTATAATATTTATAAAGCACTTCAGAAGGTACCTCCTTATTGTTTTAATCTGGCCAACAGTGTAATAAATATTTTTTCTATGGCTAATTTAGAGTCACAATGAATCAATTTCAGTTTTAAAGCCTATTAGAAATTGAAAAACAGTCTTTTTAATGACTTGATCAACAAAAACCCCCATGTGCATTGGGGTTCCTGTTTCACCCATAATGGCCATTCTCTAAAAGAACAAAAATTAAAGGAAGACCAAAAAAGTCCTTTATGAGAAAGCCGAGAAACTAGTTGGATGTGCAGATGACTCGTCAGTCCAAATCTAACGCCTACTTTTTATTAAACCAATCAGCATATTGGGAAATTACATCAAGTTCATAATTAATGCATATTTTGAGCATGATCTATCCTCTTCAACAACAAGGTTGAAACTTATGATAAAGTTACAGTACTGTATACCTGCCTTCACAGTGGATGAAAAATTAAGCATCCACTCTAATCCTTTTGAATACATAGGTTACTATCCAAACTATATATTTGAGTGGACATGAAACAAGTTACCAAAGAAATTAAGTTGGAAACTGAGTTTTAATTTGTATTCAGACTCTTAAACACTTCAAGCCAATTTATTAACACTTGTTTATATAAAATTCAAATCAATTGTGATCATTGTATTCAGACATTTTTGTGTGACTAAACTTTTCTGAAACTGCTTAAACAACAATAGAAAACCCACATAACCTATGTGGAATATTTGTAGAATCGACCAGAGACGATCAAAAACACAAAGAACCTCAAAAGGCCAAAGATGTTGCAATCTGAATACGATAAAAGCCGACCTGCTGGTTTCAGACACAACGGATGATCCCGGGGCTTTCAGGTCAATGCTCTGGTGAACTCATTTTTTTTTTATTTAAATAATTTTTTTCTTTAATGCAATTGTCAAGAAATGTCACTTCAACAAATGAAAGCATGTGTGGGAATATATTCTAAAACACAATCCAAGTTTTCTCATCTAAAATATATATCAGTGTTTTATCGTGATTTGAAACGTTTAAGAAAACTACAAGTTAAGAGACGCCAATATTCTTACAATGTGACTTAAAATAACCCAAAACCAAATGATTTAATAGGTAGATAAATCATTAGGTTCAGAAAGTATTTCGTCATCCCCAGTTCACTGGGAAACCATGAGCTACCAGTCAGCCAGTTGAACGAAGAAGCTACTCTACAGAGAATCAGGCCGTTTCTCAATATGTGTACTGTACTTGTGCGTTCTCATGTGCTCATGCTTGTGAAACATCATCAGCCTAAGCCCTAGGACTTTCCAAATCATAAGAACAGAAGACCGAAAAGGTCACCGGATGTTGTTCTCGCCCCTCCCTATTTACCATGGATGCATCAGAGCAGACTTGTCCGTTCTCCAGACTGACAGCTGACCCAGCATGCACTGCGGCAGCAGCAGCTTCCAGTGGAGCGCTTACAGAGCTCAGAATATTAAGTTAAAAGTTCAATTTCTGTTGCCGTTGTTCTACTAAAGTACTTTTTAAGATCATTTGAGGCGAGAACATATTACTTTTAACCTCACTAAATGGCCCATTTACTGATTTAGTGGGTAATTTAAAAGAAGTTCCCATGTTGAGAGGACAGGGGCAACCAGCACACCTCCGACGCCAACTGCAGCCAGGACTAACGTCTGCAGCAGCCCTCTCTCGGTATAGCCGAGTGTGAAGTACAGCTGGCACTGATGAACTCAAGATTCTGCAGTTGTATATAAATGTTCATGTTAACCAACTAATGATTCCCTAACGGCTTGTTTGGAATAGTTTTCAAACTGAATTTTCCAGTCAAACTTTACATGAAGGCCATTAGTGAAGGACATTTTTATTGTAACCAAACTTGTCATAAATGACCAACATCCACAAACTGTTTCAAAAGGAGGATCTTAGCAGTTAATCTGAGTGTGAACAACAAAGCAGTGGTTGTTGCTTGGTATTAAGTCATACTTTCTACAGGAGCTGAATATGTAATTGGGCCCAAAGGAAAAAAAAGAAAATTAAAACCAAAAGCTTGCTAGGATCCACGACTGAAAGTCTGTATCATTAAAAATGAATTTTAGGATCCCTTGATAAAGTCATCTCGCCTGCTCCTGTCTACCTACAAAACTGTAACTGCAACAACAGACTTTGCTAATCCATGTGAGCAGTGAAAGAATAATTTAGCAGTTTCAATATGGGTTCTGTGCTTTATCATTTTATTATCATAACCCCATATTCTTGTTGGAAATAAATTCACTCAATAAATGCAATTCACGGCAAATGCATTTATACCCCTTCCACCTTAAAACCACATTGCATTTTAAAGGAATTTTAATATTTGATTCCATAAAATAAGGAATCAAAAATTCAGTTAGAAAGACAATTATACAGGGATTTTTAGATTTAGTGATTAAAAACTTCCAATATATGGAGGCTTTTTTTGTAAACCTCTCCCTGTATTTCTCTAAATTAAAAATTTTGTACAATCCGTCAACCTCCAAAGCCTGTCTGTATTTTATAATGCAGCTGTTGAGTTGAGGTTTGAAAATCGGGTTGAGGAACATTAAGGAACAAACAAGGCTGTATCCAAACATCCGCCCTAACCCCTACATCCCTCAATCACTACATAAAGCGGTGCATATATATACGACATTATAGTGAAGTCAGTTTACTCAGTAACATCGCCACCACTGCACGGTGCCTGCACCATCTTTGTTATTAGTGCACATTGTCGCACGACAGCGAGCCACTGTACCAAGTCCTATAATGCTTTTTGGGGAGAGCTCTTTGCGTAAAGCATTGCGAAATATGTCTGCTCATCTAGTGACCATGGATGATTACTGTTACTACCTGATCCGTCCCGAAACCACGATCCTTTCCATCAGCTCATTTGCGCATGCTCAACTAGATATACATCAGGGTTTCAATAATGTAATTATTGTAGTAAAATTACCTATTTCTCTCTTTAACTCACTAAAGAATGCTGATAC